TCACTTCTCATGGAAACACCCCCGTATCTTCCGTAATAATTGAAGTAGATTTTTTTTTGGTTTCGACATCAAAACATGAACGAAATTGTTTGAGAGAAACTCGACTTTTGTTTTCACATAAATAATTTATTTTTTATTTTGTTGTCAGGAAAGTTATTCCCTCTCAATAAGAGAGAAAATGGTAATTTAGTAAAAGGAACGGAAACATGTAATCAGTGAAGTTTCAGGATGGTTAATGTTAGTTCATATTCTCATTTTCACATTATTAAAAAAAAACAAGGATATTTGTGGCGAAAAATGTTATGTAGTTCAAAATTCTTTCGAAGTACTACTTTCAAAATAACATTTTCAATTAAAAAACAAAACAATCAATTCTCAGGAAAAAATGTATTCGTAGTAAGTTGGTAGTCCTGATCACGAATCTCGAGGAATTTTGAGCCTATTTTGCCCCCTAAAATGTTTTACCATAAAAATTGGGTGTTCCATCGCGAGTGGCGGACAGTGTATATCACTTTGGCCAACCCATTCAGGTGATAGGTGCATTTTGAGCATTTCCATCAATCCTGAGAGTTTCATCGTTCTACCTCGATTCATCGTTCTACCTCGAATATTACGGAAGATACGGGGGTGTTTCCATGAGAAGTGTACAGGTACACTGTATTTCAAAAAAATCAAAAAATTTGAATCAAGGTACATATCAAATCAAAAGATTGATTTGAAAAATGAAATATTTCACTGAAAAAACATTCTAAGTCCATTAATATTTTGAATGAAACTTCAAATGAGAACATCAAGACTGAATTGTTTTTTGAAATTATTACTGCAAATTTTCTCTTTAGTTCGAAACAAATTTTATAACTGTCAGCCCTTTGTTGGAGACTTACTTCTACTACCTGCATCTCAGTATTACTATAGAATTTAAGACCTCAAACTTTATTATGTTGTTCGAGAGGAGTTTTATATTCGTGCACCGTCTGTTAAATATTTATAATACTAGTGACTAGAACTTAAAAAAAAATATTTTTGACAATAAATCGGACTAAAAAGTGAAAAATGAACATAGTTTAAAAAAACTGAAAAATTTTAAATTATATTTATTTCTTCCAGTGTTGAGCATATCGAATTGATCAGAAGAGAGTAAGGGCACTGAACTTTGATAAGACCTTGCTTTTGCCAAGCCAAATTGGATTCCGGTCGAACATACTGGGAGTCCAGCCAGCCAAAGACTTGGAACTTTAAGGAACTTCATTGATTTTTTTGTGGGTAGACCCTTTTTTTATGTCACTTTTCCAAAACTACATAGAAATATCATTTTCTGGTGACAACGGCCTAATTAACTACAAATGGCTATCGATATTATTTTTCTCTTGACTGAACATCTGATAATATATAATTAATTCAAAGTAAATCACTCCTTAGCCGATATATCCAAAGGGTGCGTATTACAGTGAGATAAGCTCTGAATATAATCCAATACAGGCTGATTCACGGTACATAAATCTAAAAAATGCTGATATCTTTGAGTTAAGGAATACTATGGTACCGAAATTTGGTTTGGAATTAGGTGATACTTCACATACTCTAGCGTAATCTCCGTTACTTGAATACGGAGTGGTGAAAAAATTCAGTTTTTTCTTTTGCTTGGAAAAGTGACTGATAGGTGAATAATTCGAGTAGAATACCCTATGCATCATAAATTCAAAAAACTTTTGAAATTTGATTTATTTCTATGTATATCATGTGTATACCTAACCAGTCAAGTTTTGAACTTATGAAAATTTATTACTTTCAGGTAGGTATTCCCATTTGGCATTTCCCAAGCAGGCTATGATTACTATTTGACAGTAACGTTATGACATTCTTTTCTTCACTTCAGAAGTTTCAAATACCTTCAAAACGATGGAACAAAACTAATCGAAAAAATTCTTATGAATCAGTTCATTATTTTTGGGCAGTATCATCAGCAGGTCATGTATAAAGTTCAACTTGAATAGTATACCTAACTAGTCAAGTCCGAAAGTTGATCAGTTAGGTATACGCTTGATATACATAGAAATAAAGCAAACTTCAACAGCTTCCTGAATTCGTAACAATACACAGGGTGTTTCATTTGAAATAATCAACTTTCCATCCGTCGTAAATCAGCCGGTATAATCGAAGAATTCAGTTACTGAACGTTTGTATTCATTATAATGTGTGATTTTTCTCGCGGAACTAATGCTTTTCAATCATTGATCTCAATATGGGTATTCCGCTTCACTTGATAATAACCTATCTTACTAATCGTTAACAAGCAGTGATGCTCAACGGTGCCTTATCAAACTTTCAAACTATTAAGCATGGCGTTCCGCAAGGGTCTGTTTTGGGCTCGCTATTATTTGTCATTTATGTGAATACTTTTGCAAATATTTGATGCCGTTCAAATCGGTTCTTTTTGCGGACGACACCACTTTCATTCTGTTGGATAAAAATAATGATGTGTTACAGTCTCATCTCGACGAGGTATCTAATAGTGCTAATCAGTGGTTTCTATCTAATAACCTGAGTCTGAATTGTAAGAAAACACAATACATCCAGATTTCTGTCAATAATCAAATTATCTCTAATTGTGAAACTAATAAAGTTAAATTACTGGGCATTTCATTGGATGATAGACTCAACTGGTTTGTACATATTTCTCAACTGAAGAGAAAACTCTCGGGCTCCCTATTTGTTCTTCGCCAATTGAAGTACATCACTACTGCAAATATATTGAAAACCTCATATTTTTCACTGTTTCACTCTCATATCAGTTATGGTGTACAACTTTGGGGAAATTCATGTCATTCTATTCAAATATTTAGGATGCAAAAGAAGGCATTGAGAGTGCTGGCTAATATTGGATACAGGGATCACTGTCAAGAATATTTCAAAAAACTCAGAATTATGCCATTGCCAACTTTATTTCTTTATTATGTTTTGATTGAAATCCATAAGAAGAAACCATCCTTGGCGAAACAATGTCATATCCACGAACATAACACACGAAACGCTCACCACATTAGAATAAATCGATTTCGTCTTCACTCATCGCAAAAAAATTCCATAGATTACTCTCTGTACAATATTTTGCCCCAAGATTTCGAAGAACTCAGTCTGAACACTTACAAGAGAAAATTGAAAAAGTATTTACTGAGGCATTGCTTCTATTCTGTCAATGACTTCAGAACACATTTTTGTGGTAACACACAAGTCATTAATTCTTTTTGATTTTCAAAATTTTTACATATGTGATTGTTGTTATTTGCGTGTAAATTTTAACTTGTGAACTTTAAATGTAAAGCCAAACATGACTTGCTACAAACATATTGTATTATGTAACGTAGGCAAATTAATATTATTATCATTGTTATAACACAACTATGTGAACGAGTTACTTTCATTCGCCTATTATGATCTACCAGAAGTATGTTTTTTGGTACATCTCATTATTGTTCAATTATTATTATTATAGTATCTCACCTGGTTGATACCCAAAAGTCACAAGTCCATGTTACGAAATATCTACGCGCCTAACACTGATACTAGACAAAATTGTATTGTGGAGAAGTCAAGTTCATGACCGTTTTCTCAGATATCGCGAACATTAGCTTTCACTTACGTGCAGAGGCAATGGCCCGCCGTCATAACAAACTTGTTGGTAATAACCGTGCCGCCGCAGAAATGCCCTCCTCTTCTGGTTATCGAAACTAGCCATGGAAACTCTCCCTTGTTTGCATTTTCGCCTCCCACTATTTTACCAAAACGACGCGCGACGTTGTGTTTTCCGCAACTTACGTCAGCAACTGAAAGGGAAAATTGTGAAAACTTCAGAAAAGTCAAATGTATACATTTAATAAATCGAAAGGGTTATATTTTTAGCAGAGATTAACTTTTGGAATAGAAATATTTTGGCTTTCTATTTCTCCATCTTTATACAAAAAATGTAGAAAGAAAAGAAGTAACAAATCAATTCCAAAATAAACTCTTAGGAGAAATTTGTAGATTGTGCAAAGGAGTAACTTTCAGAAACAACTACTTTCATATGAACATTGAAGCATAAAACAATCACTTTTTTCTATTCAGTTTATACTCCTTCCAGTTTGTGTATTAAAATCACTCGTTCGTATGATCTACAGAAATCTTTGTAAAGAGTTCATTTTGAAATTAAATGCTCTCTTCATTTCCCATTTTTTTTTGTAAAGATGGAGCCGTAGAAAGCCAAAACCTCTCTTTCTCAAAAAATCATCTGTCATAAAAATATACCCGTTTCAATTTGAACAAGATTCCTATGGCTGGGATTGAATAAAATGATGGAAAAAATGGCATTACGTACTGTCATCGATGACGTGAGTAGATTCAACTCATTCGTGACATGAAGTCGTAGTGTTATGAATTAATTGAGTGCTTCATTTTATAATATTATCCAGATTGGTGCTAAAGAGGCAATAAGGCAAGTGTCTTATTCCGAAACATCGTATGTCCGCCATTGAGAATAACAGTGTTCCATGTTAGTGGAATTTTACCTCTTTCTTATACTATATTTTGTAGCAATCCTGTGAATGATATCTGATTTTATTCCATAACGAATGTTTGGAATACAAACTGAATGAGAAAACGTGTTTTTGTATGATAAAACACATTTATAAAAAAGAGATTGTTTCGGAAGTATTCTTTTCTTTCGTGTTATTCAATGTTTATATGAAAGTTGAAAAGAGTTTATTCTGAAATTAAACGATCTCTTTTTTTCTTTGGAAGAATCCCACATTTTTCTGTGTAAAGATGAGGCGTAGAATGCCAAAACTTTTTTTTCCCATGAATGTATTCATACAACTATCTATCTGGACGCTTTAATACATAGTAATTTTTTGGTTAGGACTATTGAGTTTTTCCATTATCACTCTTCAACAGATTCTTTATCATTTTAACTTTGCTCATTTCAGATTGCCGAATGTTTGAAAGAAAGTTGAAAAAATTTTCAAAACAACAAAAATATAGTCGATTCTTCCGAAACAGTTGTTATCAATATAATAATTTTCAATTGTTCAGGAAGAAATAGTTCATTGCACCAAAATTCACTTTACCAAACGGAGATTAGGTAGTTATTGAAATATTAAAGTACTAACCAGAGTTTTCGTACTTTGAACTGAGCTTCTGGTGCCTTTGAGAGTAGCCCAGCCAGAACACTCCAAATTCATTACTGACCCGAAATTCCTTTTAATAACTACTCTCTTTCCGACCTATTCATATAATTCGAATGTCAAAAATGAAAGCCCTCAAGTACTGATTAGAAATGTCATCATTAAAGATGAAACAAATGACTTCACAAAAAAAAGACTCAATGTCATCTGACATGAATCGAAACAATCTCGATTCATTTTCGTCGACTTGGTCTATTATCGAAGAAGTAGGGTCTGAGATAAAAACCAAAATATATGTATAAGAAAAGAAATTTCGAAACATCTCTACCATTGTTTCTACATAGTAGGATTTGGTAAGTGCCTGCTGGAAACAACAACTTTCCCGGCTTATACTACGTTGTACATTAAATAATATATACAGTGTGACCAATTTTTAATGGAAACACCCCCCTAAAATTTAAAGTTGTGAACCGATTTTAATATTTTTTTTGAAATGTCAAGTACTGAATGGTCTACCTTCGGACAACATTTGAAATGTTTATTAAAGTTCCAGGGCATACTATGATATTTTTTCTTAGTCGAAAATCGGGATT